TAATCCCTAATTGTACTCACCATCGCATGATTACCTATACTTATTTAGCTTTGCCAACTAGGGCAGGGTCACCACAACAGCATATGCCAATTACTGTGGGCCCTTTTACCTAACCCACTCTGTCAACTTTCCCTGTTGGAGGAAACCGGACTACCCAGAGAAAACCCGGCCAAGACTTTCAGCAAAAATTTTACTCATGATCGGGAGACTCTTGGGCATTCACGGGTTAAGACTATATCAATATGCCCTATGTATATTGCAGTCTTCCATTAAAGCCTCAATAAGTTATTAAAATCTCCCCAAGTGTCTAATTAATATCCACTGAGTTGCAATGCACCCCAATGTGCCCTAACCTAAAATTATTGCACCTCGTCTAACAGTAGACATTTTTACTCATCAAGAGGAGAGCGCGCACTGGCAGCTCAATCGGTTAAGCGAGGATTGCATATGAGATCGAGTTTGCATGTTACCTCTGATGCTCCGGTCAAGCGACTAGAACAAGAGTTGCATCAGAGTTGACTGAATATTACTAGCCAAACAAGCAAAAACTCTTAATATCAACTTTTGGCTCGTTTTTGAGTTGATGAGAGTGCACGAGTGTTCATCAGAGTTAGCAGACAGTCAAATTTTAATGAGAGTTAATTGGACCTGTCTAAACAGTGACAGACAGTGGGGGTGGGGGGGGGACCAAATGGAGTCAACTACCCCACTCCAGCAGATGTGTGGTTTGTTTACATTATGAAGACACTATTCATAACCCATTAAACCGCGATGCATTTACTGTAGTTAATGTCTAACATCGTTTTGGTTCGCTATATATATGCTTTTAAATGACTTTAGATTAGAGTTCCAATTTAGAAGATGTCAAAACAATGCTAAATTTGGGTATTGTTTACACCATAGCGCCCATCATCTTTAATAATACAAAAGTCACCGAACAACATGTATTGCCGCCACTCCCACAAATGTCGACGGCTGCTCCTGCATATTTTTGCATGTTTACAATTCTAATTTTGAACAGCCTATCCGGTTCTTGCATTACAATTACAATTAAACGTCGATTGGATGTTTAAAATAAGAATTGTAAACATGCAAAGATATGTAGGTGCGGTCGTAGACGTTTGTGGGGGTGGCGGCGATACAAATTTTTTATGCGATTCCACAGTTGAGTAACTTTCGTAATAAATTTTAGCCAAAAAAGTTTAAGGGTATTTTTTATATATTTCTGATATTTTTGTAAAAATGTTTACAACTTAGATTCACACTCCCAGAATTCACACTCCCAGACAAATGTCTACCACCACACATGTAAAAACACAAGTTGTAACAAACTTGTAGGAATGCTGTTCCAACAGCTTGTCATCAGGATGTGTTCACACAGCTAGCTTTCAGTTCCCAGCTTGTTGACAAGTTGTCAACGGCTTGTTGACAACTTGCTACAAGGTTGTTGAGCTCAACAGACTTGTTACAAGTTGCTTCAACAACTGTCAATTTTATTTGTCAACAAGTTGTGAGTGACAACCTTGTAGCAACTTAAAAATAACAGCATTGTTACAACTTGTTGTGAGTTGTTGACAAACTTGCTATACAAGCCTTTTGCAAACACATCTTCACACACAAAATCTCACATCTTGTACGTAGCAAGTCTGCATGCCAACAAGCCGTCAACAAGATGTGTTCGCATTGCTTGTCCCAAGTTGTCAACAAGTTTGGAACAAGCTGTTAACAACTTGTAGCAACCTTGTTGATATTATCAGACTTGTTGCAAGGTTGTTCCAACAAGGCGTAAAAAAAATACCTGTGGTTCCGGTTTCATATCGCGAAAAAATTAGAGTCGGTAGGTCGGAAATAATTTTTTTTTGAATATTTTTTTCATGGTTTTTTCAATAATTAGTCTAATTAGTGTGACAACAGATGCCATTTTGGCAGCAGCCCGCAACCACCCGGAGAAAATAGGGTTGCACGGTCAATCGTGTTGAAAAAATAATAGGGTTGGCAGAAAAAAATAGGGTCGGTCGGGAACCGGAACCACAGGTATTTTTTTTACGCCCAAGTCTGATACAGTCATGATATAACAATATTAATTGTTACATTCTTGTGTTGTCAACATTAATTGCAACATTTTTGTTATATCATGATTCAGGACTGTATCAGACTTGTTAGAACAACCTTTGTAACAAGTTGGATAATGCCATCAAGCTTGTTACAAGTGGTAACAGCTTGTTCCAAACTTGTTACAACAACTGGGAACAAGTAGTGTAAACACAATTTGTCGGACAGCTTGTGAACAGATTTGTAACAGCTTGTTTGCAGACCTAGCTGTAACAATTAATCTGTGAGTTTTTTCGTGTGTTGTTGACAACTTGTGAGATTTTCACGTGTCTAGTTGTGTCTAATGCTGAAAGGAATCCCATCCCTTTATATTTAGGCTTTAAAATCATTTTGATTCCACTTAATTAACTATTAAGTACATACTTTATTAAAATACTTAAAATGATATATATATATATATAGGAAAGATATATTAAAACTTTAAACGATCAAAGATTAAACGATATTTGAATGGGAAATATTTTTACATTCAACTACAATTCACATATATTAAATACTATTATTAATATTTTATAATTGCTACAGTGTCAAAAGTCACACCTACCCATATATTGTTTCGCCACCAAAATATTCCCCTTTGTTCGTACGAATTGAAATCTGATTCATGATTTTAAAGCATGAAAACAAGCATGTGGATTGCCTGTTTGATGACAGTTCAATGTGCTTTTTCTAGAGCAAAAATTGCAGGAAGTGAAACAACGTTTTCACGCCGCTAGAACGATATTGGAATTTGGAACACAATATGACAATATCACTTATTGGAACGATACGTTTCTCCCCCCCCCCCCCC